ACTGAGGAAAAAGATCTATAAGTTACAGTATAGAGTTCTATGAAAATGCATCTCAGTGCTCAACAATGGCCAAGAAAATAAAACAGATGTTGGAAGTATATGGAAATATACATGTATATATACTATGGAAAATATGAAATAAACAGAAAATGTCATTATTACACAGTCTTTTGACCCCCTCATCTCAAAAAGGTTATATAGTAAAATTTTTAAAAGTACAGATTTTTAAAGTACAGAAATGGGTAACAAGGACTGAGAAATCTATATGACAGCTTTTTAACAAGGAATAACTGAACCAACTAAGGATTCTTCAGCCTAGAAAAAGGGAAGATTAAATGTGATGTGACAGACATCCAAAAAACTGTAAAGAATACAGGGAACAGCTCTTCATCTTTTTAAAATATTTTCATTAGAAGATTAACAACCACCAAATGAAGCTTGAAGATGTCAGGTTCAAAAACAAACAAACAAAAAGGCATGGTGTCTGCAACAATACATCCTAGATGCTAAATTTATGTGGATTCAAGAAGTGTAAGACTTTTCCATCACAATTACTAAATGTAGTAACAACCACCTGTAGCTCTGGATGTCCCTGAGACAGCTTGCTGGAAACTAATACTCCTCCATCAAAGAGAGAATGATGACTTTGTTGGATATTTATTCTGTCACATTTCTTACTCCCTCTTTAGGGAAAGGAATGGAAGAAGGGTAACCATACATAGAATTTCAAACTCATTTGCTCGCACTAAGTACTATCAAAGACTTAACTATGCACTTTGCACTACGCTACAAATAGACTGAAAAATACATCTTCACCACTTTACCAGCCTATGTTCATCTGTAGATCCAGTTGTCTTTTTTGCTACATCAATCTTGCTTACAGCAAAACTAAAAGCAAAAACAATTATATGAGTGAAATTTTATTATGAGGTATAGGCAGTGACCTGCTCTTGAAAGTTACACCTTTTCAGTGTGGAAATAATACTGTCAATGTTTAATGTTTGATGTTTAATATGCAATGTTATAGAAGTATAAACTCTGAAAATTAAAAGCAAGTAGATATTGTTAAAAGGATGTCCCAGATATAGCTAAGGAAGTATACAGCAACATTACATTAAAGCAGACTTTAATGCTTTAATGTCTAAACTTTAAAGATGAAGTAAGTAGACCAGGCAGGGAACAATCTTTAGTCTTGGGAGTATTAGCTAGGCAAAATTTGCTGTCATTAACATCCATGAATTCAACAGTATTAGAACGTCTTTTTTTTTTTTCCCCTTAATGTCATTATAAAAAGATTAATCTCATGCTAGCCTCTCTTCAGAGAAGGAAATAAAAGTTCAGCTATAATATTCAAAGAAATGTAGCTTAACATGAAAATGCCTCTAATATGAAATTACTTACTCTTCAGCAGTCCTTCTAGGAGTAAGTGAAAAGCTTTTATGCATACACTGTATGAAATTATTAAAAATACAAGTGTAAAAAGTCCCAAGAAAAAGTAGAATACTGGACTCAGTTAAACCACTGTAACTTCTTTTGTAAAATTTAAATATATACCTTTTCTCAGATTATTAATCCACGGTTAAGTATCAGTAGTGCAGAACACTGTGATACAAGCAAAATTTTAAAAATGTAAAACACAAGTTTAAACATGATAGGTACTGATCATCGTTTTCCTCCCTGAAATTGGATCCTAGCACATACATCTTACTCAAATTACTTCAGTGATGCTCCATGAAGGCCATTTAACATGTGGACAATTTTGTAGTACCTGCATCTAATTAATTAGGCTAATTGTAAGGATAGTAATAGGAATTGATCAGTGTTAGAAATTTTTTATGCAGTACTCACAGCTTTTTAAAAAGTTACATTTTTTTTTTGAAATGGAAAATAAATACAATTTTTTTAACACAGAGATAGTTGCTAGCCCTCTACTTCCAACAGTTGTGACTTGTATTTATTCCAATTAGCTGTCCATATCCTCATACGGAAGATACTTTTTCACTGCTATATTTATTAGAAATATCTACAAATACCACAAAGAAAAGATGACATCAGATGACATGGAAACCAACAAACATTTTCAAACACCCATAATCAGTTAATGCTTTTTTAATACAACTTGTCTACTTATTTCAATATTCAGCAGTAAAAGTTAAGAGAGTGACATTTCAAAAGCTGAAGATACCTGCCCACCTCTTGTTTGTTATAGAGCCATACAGGTTTAAGAAGTTCCTGCACCTCAGCCCTTTATTATCACCTACTCAGTTGAGATATGCCTACTGAAAACATGGCTTGTTCCAGGGCAAAATAAAATAAGTTGGTATAAAATTTCAACAACAATTAATCAGACATTTTTCACATTACATTAAAAATGTTCTCTACAATTTTATTGTGCTTCTTTTTTAATATCTAAAATAAATTTCAGGTTTTTTATTCTGAAACAACAGGTGGAATGTAGCATGGTTGTTCTTGCAAATATGATTGATGATGCTGAACATTTTCCAAGGAATTTAGTGATGCCTGATCCAATTATTGAATTGTCATAGTCTTCTTATTTGAATTTCTATCTAAAGGCTTATTCGTAGCATAACTGAGAAACCTATTCTTTTTATAATTTCATATAAAAAGTTTTCAAGTAAGTGAGTAGTTAAATACAAAAAGGCTTTAATCATATAGTCCTTCCTTGAGGAAGCTCAAATGTCACCTGACTAGGTCCAGCGTATTTTAGTTAAACTGTACAGCTGTCAAAGTCTGTAAACACTTGACATGAATTGGACAAATGAAGACAACTTCATGAACTTTTCAACACATTCTTTATTCATTTTTCTGTCAGGTAACTAAAACTTAGAGTTTAAAAAAAAAAAGTCAGAGCCTGAGATATTCAACACAGATCAAAAACCAACTTTAGTTAAATGAATACTACTATAGATAGCCTATTGTTTTATCCTCCCACACCATTTGATGGCCTAAGATGAGTACCTGCACTCCTGAGACTGGCAATTTAATACAATATTTGGTAATACTACAAAGTCATCCAGCCATATAGGAATCCCAGCCTGACAAATAAATGGATCTTCTTCACATTAGAATCTCTTGAATACCATCCTTTCTTACTTCGTTGTAGTCCAGCTCATCATTAACGGTGCAAGTTGAGATCCCCTCTCAGCTTTATCTTCCAACTTTTCTGAATAGCACATTCTTCAGTTCCTGTATTCCAGCCATGCTGCTTTTCTACCTAGTTTGTGTCTATACTGCAATTAGTTCCAGTTAGTATTAACATACTAAAATTGGGACATAATCTTTTTGCTATAGGTTATCCTGTCCCAAGACACTTCTTTACCCATTTTTATATTCTCCTTACTTGATTTTCTTCCCCCTCTCCATCTAGAGGGATTAACATGATGGTCTTTTCCAAACTCCTGTTGTTATTACCTGCTTCAAAATGGTAATCAGTGATAGCCTGATCCCACAGAGCCACTATTTCAGCTGAGCAAACAGACCTGTTTGAACTGTCCCCTTTCAAGGAATGCTTCCTTCAGACATCTGAAAATCCTCCTAGTAATATCTATCTTGAGAACCATGCATTCTTTCTTATATTCAAAAAGATAAGAATAACTCATTAGAGTTTACCTCAGCCTCAGTTTATTTAAATATCTTTCCTACTTAGCTTGGTGTAGTCAACTTCAACCTGTTTCAAAGTTATCACTTATCCTGACACAAAGAACAATCAGCAGACTCCATGCCAATATCATCAGGATATTTTTACCCCATGTTTACGTCCCAGATTCTGGCAAGCTACACATACTTATGTCAAGATCCATTCTCATAAATGGCTTCTCTATTTTATTAAGGGTTCACAACCTTAGAGGTCTTGGATGTTTAGCTGAATCTCTCTTTCATTCTTCTGTTTTAGATCATTAAGACTTCTAACCCTTTTTCCAGTACTCTGTATGTAATCTCTTCCCCTTACAGATTTAATTTTCTGGTTATCTCCATCATTCATTTCTCTTGTGCAGTTAGTTTCTTACATGACTTCTCTGTATTTTCTTCCCATGTGTTTCACTTGCCTATTTTTCAAACATCATTGACTGCCTCCTCCATTCCTGAATACATGAATTCTGTGACCATAAAGACAGGATGCAAACTGTTTCCCTGAATTACCCTACACAAGCTGATATTTTTCTCCTTGATTTTGTTTGGTGCGTGCCTTTTTTTCCCCTCCCTCTTCCATCACATTTGTAAACTACCCCTACACTTCCTTTAGAAGCTCACTGTCCTTAAATTTTCTCCATTATTTCTAATGAGTGATGGTGTATATAGGAATACTTTCCCCCATACTTTTCCCCACTTAATATAACACACATTCCATTTCTGTGTCATGTCTCAATGCTATAATCACCTCAGCAAATACTGAAATCTTCTCTTCTTATTCCTACTATTCAGGATATAAAAGCAACTTCTCCATTTCTTCCTCTTTGCTTGCTTTTGTGTCTGGCTGCTTTTTTTCTTAAAAAAACCCAACAAACAAACAAGAAAAAAACAAACCACAAACAAAACCAAAACTTTCTGCCTAGGTCATCTTTCTTCCCTCCCAGAGAATCTGCTAAGTGTACATCACTTGTGATCTACGTCAGGCAGCATTCCCCTCTGACCCAGTTGCATAAAGCAGCACTGTATTTTAAATTATGATCCCTTTCCAGAAATCGATTTCTAAAGGCGTGGATAATGTAAGTATTATAGCTAAGCCTGAGACACAATACTCAAACAGCCTACTCATAAATCTACTAGTACTTTTTAGAAAAACAACTAAACTTAAAAATTATTACAATGTTTTCCCCTTCTTAGAATAGATGTGCCCTAGCAGACTATCCTTTAGTTTTGAGTCCACTATTTGAACAGGGTAGGGAACAGATAAAAATAATAAAACATGTGATTGCTCAATTAAAAATTTTAATATGTCTACATACTTCTGTATATTTCAGGTTGATTTATCCAGAATGTCATCGGCTGGTTGTATTAAACTGTGCATAATACTGGCCTGTCGGAAAATTTGAATATGCTTCTTCTTTAAGATAAATGTTCCTAGCAATAAATTAAAAAAATGCAGTTATTAAAGGGTTTTCTCATTATAATATAGAATTAACCTGAGAAACCTAAATGCATAAACACTCAAATGCTCATAAAGTTCAGAATTATTAGAAATCAAATTTAATACAACTAGATCTTTTTCTCCAAAATATATGCCACATCTCAATATAGCAAACTTTTTTTTTCATCCTAAAGTAACCCTCAAAAATCTCAGTGAAAAACTAAATTAACACAATTCTGAATTTTTGCTTTAATGATAGGAAAGCATCAAGTACTGGAATTTCTTTTGCAAAATGTATGTATGCATGCATGATGGAAAAAAAAAAAAGGACTGGAAAAATAGAACACCGAATCACTTGGCTTGATTTTTTTTTCTTCACATATTATCTTCCTCCTTTCCCATTACAGCAGACACAAGACCTGTCCACCATGACATGTCCAGTGGCTAACTAAAGAATCATCTAGTTTTGCCATACATAATGGAAAAGCTCTGTTTGTGCCATTAGCTTAACACTGAGCTATCAGAAACTGGCAGTTCTACTGATACCGTCCTTTTTTGTTTCAGAAAACTAAGGTAAATTAAAGAAGGAAGTACTGTTTTACACCTGGTAATATAATTTTCTGCAGTCAGTTGTATTTATTCTCTATTTTTCTATCTATATAAACCATCTGTTATCAGTGGAACACTTTTAAGAATTCCAGCTACTAATTCATACATGTAAGTCAGTAACAATCATAACCTACTCTTTGAAGATTGTTTAAATAGTACTGAAAAACACACTTAAGCTTAATTGTTGATTTTTTAAAAAGTATAAACTTGCAACAAGTGTATTAAAAAAGTAATAAATGATACACGTAAAAAAGCTCTTTGAAAGCCAAGCTATTGTGCTAATGGTAAAGAGTTTTATTTGAAAACAAGAAAACTCTTTTGGTACTTACTTTGATTTCTGCTCCTGAGATAGCTCCGTGTTTACATTATCTAAAGCTTGGCGGCGTTCCCGATTCTGTCGTTGTTGATGCCGCTCTAAAACCAACTGCGCTCTTGCAGCCTGTATACTTTGCCTCTCCCATTCAGCATCTCTTTGGCGTTCTTCCTCTTTTAGTCTCTACAGGAGTGAAAAAAATGCTTGATTTTCTCTTTGTTCAAAGATGAAACAGGCTATATAATAAAGTCTGATTGGTAAATTCATCCAGACAAACTTGCTTGCCTTTACTGAACACTAGGGATAGCATTTGAAATAGGGAGAAAAAGTGAGCACTTCCAAACTACGTAGGACCCCAAGCATTAGGCAAAAGAAAGATACTGCAGATGAGAAAGCTATCCTTTTCTAAGGAGCAAGAGAGACTCCTGCCTCTGTACAAGGTAAGAAAATTAGGATCTGCTGCCTGGCAGATGTAAGTTAATCAGTAGATTACTATTTCCTTCTGACATATTAGTTCTCTCTAAAAACTCAGAGCAGCAAGATAGATTTTTTTTTAAGTTCTTGTTAGCAAGAGTTGTAACTTCTTCAGATCAGAAATTAGTAGACATCAGTATAGCTTATAATACAGCTAAGTCAGTGTAATAACTGAGCCATCAACACCAGATGACTAGACCTAAACCGTTTTTTCCTCTGCCCCTGTTACGCTACTACTTCCTCACTTCTTGTCTGATATCACATTGAACTGGTTCAAGAAATCAGGCCTGAAAAAAAAAAAAAAATCACTTTTCTTGGTAGGGCTCATTTTCTGCCAGCTTAACTACTTGAATGGGTTCACTTAAGGGTCATAGGAGAGTCAGGAAAATGAAAATTCTATCTCCAGCTTCAATAACAGCAGTAGATAAGACATAGTGCAGCATATGCTACTGTAGGGATAAAATAAAATAAAAAAACACAAAACAGCTATTCGTTAACTGTTATGAATCCAACCTCTGCACTGAATGAGGTAAGTAGCTTCCTACTATCCTAGCTCTTTCTGAGCTTCCAATACCTAGGTCTGACTGCATAGGAAGGGTAGATTTCTTCATTTTGACTGCCTGCTTCCATGCACCTTTAAAGCAGCAATTATTAGCAATATTTAGTTTTTCTACTGTAATTCTATCCCAGAGCATGGCTCATAGCTATGTGGGATGGTAGAAAGGAAATCCGTTGCATTCATGAACTTTTAAGACTATGAAATATGCATGAGCAGGATCACTGGACCTGCTCTATTTGTCTTGCTCGACTGCCCTCGAGCACGAGAACATTGCTCCGGCCTACACTGCTCTCACCCTCAGCTCCTGGCTCTTCTTCCTGTATGGAGCAGCCTACTCCCGCTCATATCTTGTGGGCAGCTCATGCAGTCTCAAGTCCTAAACTGCACCATGAAGCCTGGGTCTTGGGCTGTGCAGTACCCTGCTCCTTAGCTAGGCCACAATGGACCATGCCCCAAGATCCCACAGGCCCTTTGGCCCTGGGCTCCACAGCAACCTTCCTCCCAGCCCACCTCCAGGGCTCCAGCCCACTTCTGCTGCTCCACGACATTTCCCAGCTGCTTCAGAGACACTGTGTTCAGTTTGATCAATTAAAGTTTGTGTAAAAATCAGATCAATGAAAAACACAGCCTTATAATGGGACATAAAGGCCAAACAACAATATTTTCTTGTACAAACATTGCCTATAATTTTATTACAACCAGGAATACAGAACATGCATGTAAGCTTAAATACCTGTTTCTCCAGAACTTGTTGCTGTTGAGTGTAACGGATTGCCATCAGCTGATCCTGATTCATCCCCTTCCATCGATCTGTGATCACACGGTGTCTACCAAAGGAACTGACTGCTTGTTCAGGGTTTTCAGAAAGTAAGTCTCCTTGAAGGAGGCTGGAAATTTCATCCATGTCCTCTTTCATATTTTTATACTTTTCCAACTTCTTTCTCTCAGCTAGTTCAGCAGCCTAAATTCAGTGAAAGGACAGAACTGATAATTTTTCAAAAAGAAAATATTAACTAAGGGATGCAACAGAGTTAGCACATCATAACAGATTTCTTTCCAACTTGCATACAGTTGTCAACAGCATCATATGATGTCAACAACATATGAATACTATGATGGTGATCCTATTGGCTAAGATTGAAAAATCTAGTAGTATACATTTCTTTAACGTTGACATATCACATACACTAAGTAATTTTGTTTTATAAGAAAAAACAGAATTACAATAAAAAATAATTTCACATTTATCCACAAGCAAATACCAGTTGATATTTGGAGGCCAGAGACAATATGGAAGAAATTTACAATAAAAGTTTACAATCTTGAATCATTAGCCTTGATATATATTACAGATTAAATCTATGTGGAAAACATAGTTAAGCACTCAAAACAAACGAACGAACAGACAAGAGATGCCTATGTTAAGCCTGAAGATACAGCCTTGAATCTGTTCCCTTTGCTGATACAAAATGCAAACTTTAATATTATTATGTGAATATACCTGTAGTGTTCGAAATCATAATATGCATTTCCTATGGAAATCACTGTTCCTAATGTTCACTATAAGGTCATACTTTCCTATTCTGAGGAAATTTTCCCCTTATAAAACTCCAGAAAGCAAATACGATGATTTTACTTTAAAATAATTACCTTCCGAAGAAGAATTAGACTAAGTAAACTAATTTGAAGTAGAATGGTTGGCACACATGTTAAGAAACTGGATGAAGACAGAAGAAAAATGAAGGCTTATGCATCAAGAAAGTCATAGCAGGTAAAATAGTCTTCTGTGGCATGTAAGGTAAAGTTGAAAATTAGTAGGCTGAGTAACTAGAAGATATAAACAACTGAGAATGACAGGACTATCTAGACACATATGTGGGAACCCATTCATTTGCAAATGTTATGGAGAAGAATCCTAACTCAGGAAGCACAGTGATCTGTCCCACCAGAGAAGACTGCTAACCTGGGTTTCTCTCTACATTGATATTTATGGACTTTGAGTTTGGATGACAGCAGTTCACCCAAGCATCAGGCCTGGAGACTGTCAAAGAACAACTTCTATTTGCTCCAAGCAAACAGGCACAACAACCTGTCAGGGACTAGACAGAAGAAGATGCGGGAGAAGGATGGACTTCACAACTCTATGAGAGTTATATTCCGAAGCCGTTTATTGTCTTGTCTGACTCCAATATATATCATAATTTTCACTTAGTCACTGCGCACACGCTCATGATTGGTTACAACTTGTTACACACACTATTGCAATTGGCTATATACAAAATATCACGTGCTGTCCACGCGCCCCTCACATAGTCAGGATTGCTGCTTGCAGGTGTTTCTGTTTTCCTCGCTTCTTCTCAGTTGTTTACCTCAGCTCCTTCTCCTCAAGGTCGAGCCGTGCAGATATCCAGCTGTTTACCAGCTTCTCAGTGCCACAGCTCCTTCTCCTTAAGGTCGAGCCATGCAGATCAACGCCACAGCTCCTTCTCCTTAAGGTCGAGCCATGCAGGGTGATCCCAACAAGAAGAATTAACAAATAACACCAAGTACCATATCCTAAATTAATAAATTCCATGGCTGAAAGCAGCCTTGTGGTTTCCATTCAAATAACAAAAGTATTTGATGTGCAAACAAACTAATAAAAGATAAATTAATTTTTTTTAGAATTAGAAATTAGCCAAGCCGCAATTCAACTTAGATGATGCAGAAAACCTCGTATTTAAAAACACTTACCAGCCATCTAATAAGAATGTACACTTTACTCTAGAGCAAGAAAAGAAATGTCTACTTTTAGACAAATGGAAAAACTCAAGCAAATCAAATTTCAAGTGGCAAAACATCAACTTCAGATCTAGTAATTACTGGCTCTGCCATTATAACATGGAATAATATGTTGGAAACTAAAGGCCACTTTTTCATCTCATTGAAGTCAGTGAGTACAATTTTTCCACAAGTTTAAAGCATTTTTTAAAGTCCAAAATGTGTTTCCCTGTTTTTTTTTTTTTTTATTCAGAGAAGTCCATAATAACTTGAGAGGAACTACAAATTTCCAATGTCCAAGAAAAAAAGAAACCAAAACCCCAAAGATTTTCAATCAGCTGATACTTTGGGAATGCTGAACCAGAATACCTGGGTATGTACTTTTAGCTTATTAATACTATGAATTGAGCAATTATTTTTAGTTCTGAAAATGCTCCAAGTAAATCACATCTAACGGAAAGTCAATTTAGATGGACCTCACATAATTACTGGCCTTGAAGCTTGAAAGTGCAATTTTTATTTACATCACTTTATTAATGTCACTCCACTGTGATCTAGCAACAGATCCAAAAAGGCACTTAGACCTTGTAACCCTAACCTCTTAGTAATAGGCAGAGCCTAAAATTTCTGAGCTGCCTGGAAATCTTACTGGAGTAAACTCCCAGCTCTATGCATAGCCATGCATGTAGCATTACTATGCAATGATTAACGACACTGCAAAAGAAACACTTTAAACTTGGAAAAAGCATCAGATTTAACCTATCAAGTCAAATCCCTAATAAAACATAATTCATTGCTGTAGCATGGAAAAAAAACAGATGCACAAATACACACTCCATTTATTTTTATTTGTGATCCAACATTATATATTTTCCCTAATACTAAATGCTTCCTTTCACTGTTGATTCAAGTCATAAAGCAAAAGAAGAAAAGCACATAGAAGCATTATGAGGCCAGGACTTCATATACTTAGAATAACACCAAGTTTCGAGTGTGTGAGGAACTAACAGCTGCCAATACAGGTCTAAAGGAATGAGCAGCTTCTGAAGTCATTATCACTAAGTCACAAAGTACACACACATGACCCAAGTGACCTGTCCAGGGTCTCAGGAACTTCTGAAAGCGGTATTATTAATCTGTATAGTAATAGACTATTACTATATAGTATAATATAGACAATTCCTTTGTCTGTATTATATATTTCTGTCATAGTAGAGAATTGCACATCTAGCACAGTCAAGCTAGGAACTTCTGCTTAGCAAGACCTGTTAAGAATCGGTACATGCACTATGTTTCCTCATGCCTGAAAACATGGTAAAAACACTGAAATATTGATGATTCTAAACATTGAATATCAAGAATAGGATGTAAGTGATCACAGATATTTGCACAGCACACTTCAAAGAATGATAAAAAGTTACCATTCTTCTACATTTAGCACTCAAATACTTAATTTCAGGTGAAAAAAAAGGCTCCACAGTTAATGCAAAAACACAATTTACTATTTCTCTGAAGTGGCTGCTGGCTCTGAATGTGTTATTAATGGCATAATGTTGAGTGAATAAGGAACCAGAATAATGCCATCAAATGTCCAGTATAACAACGTTATCCAGAAAAACTATCAAGCTATTGCGGTATGCCCAGGAATAAACTCTAACTACATAAGGTCTGTAAGATTGTTAACAAGTCTATAAATATGCAGTCATTAAATTAGAGATCCTCTGTAATCACATCCTCTCATTTAGATAATGCTAATCTAAAAAGTGTCTTGCAAAGAATTCAGGTCCTGTGCTACATAAAGCAAGAAGATTCTTTCTTTCTGGTTTCAAGAACACAATTGGTATATCTACCACTGTACTGCTAAACTGGGCATTCCCAAGTGTTATTATCCTTAGTGAGGAACTTCTTTCTGAAACAGTAAGATTCTGGTATGGAATCACAATCACAACAAAAGAAGTGAAAAATATATATTCTAGGCAGGACTCCGGGTAGCCTTCATTTCTGTTAAGTGGCCTGCCAGTTAAAATTATTACTACTTACACATGAATGATTCCAGGAGGAGTAACTGACAGTTAAGCTAGTAGTAAGTCTTTTATACCAAGGACAAAAGCAATATTGGTATTCCTGGTTAGCATGTGGTTAGGTGGGAGGAAATCTGAGAGGAAGGATAGCAGTAATTTTCTAGACACTACACACACTTAAAATGCTTACAGTATAGGACCCTTCACCACTGGGATATATGGTACCAAACATTCCATGAATTCATTGTCCTGCTAATCACTTCCAGAAGAATAAAAAGAACCATTAGCAGTAAGCTTGTTGGCAATAAAGTTATGGGCAATGGTATTACGGTAAGTGGAGGAAGCTGAACCACTGTCACAGGGGACAGCAACATCAAATCCGGTCATGAAGGGAGGCTGATGAACTGAGATGCCCTACCTTCAGTCATCTGCTGGGATTCTTTACCAATTGACTAGAGATTGACCAAAAAATGTTCCTCCTAGAGTACATGACTTGCTTGTTTTTATATTCTGCTGGGTGTTTTTTTTGTTTTGGTTTGGTTTTTTTTGGTTGGCGTTTGGTTTTTTAATTAAAAAAAAAAAATTTTTTTTACATCCCCTAAAGATACTGGCAGCCTTAAGGACTACAGATGATGGCCATGGAGATCACGATTGATCCAAAGCCAAATTCTAGGAAATGTCTTCCTCCTCGAAGATGCACTCCCATATTATACTTTATCCAAATTACAAACAACTGCAGGTTGCTTTAGAAAGGGTGAGTTTGCTTTCTCCCTTCCTTTACTGCCACCTCAGACTGTGCATTCACTCCTCCCAATCAGATCTAGCAGTCCCTCATTCTAGACCTGAGTTCATTTTCTTTTGGATTGAGAAATGATCTAACACACCCTGAAGCTTCATGATCATTACTACATTGACTGCAAGAGACACAGCAGAAAAAAATGAATGATACTTAGGGAACAGGAAAAAGGAGTTCCTCTTTTGGCAGCCACCAACAGGTAAAGCAGATGTGTATAGAGCAAAACAGTGTGAGACTGCACCCTCAAGAGGTTAAGGTCTTCAAACCAGCTACTCAGCATATTGAAGCTGGTGGAGACTCCTGTTCAATACATTTGAGGTCAGATACAGAGTTGTCTTCTGTGAAGTTCATTCTCAGGCTGAAGGCCCTAGTTTTCTCTCTTGCAAAAAAGATGTATAGAAAATCCCTCTGTAACATAGCTTTCTCTTAGAGACAACATCACTGAAAGGCCTGGCAACCTGAAACCTCTGGCTTGCATGTTTAATAAAGAAAAGCAGCAACTGTGCTAGCACATATTTCAGGGAAAAAGAAAAGCTTTTCTCAATCATTCAGGAAAAAAAAAAAAAAAGGAAAAGCTGAAAACAGTATCATCGTCTTAAACAAAAAAACAAAAAAGTAAACTTAACTAACTACCTCAGAAAGAAAGAGAGCTGCAGAGCTGTAAGCTGTAATTCCAATCTATACAACATAGCAAGGGACAATAAGAACTAATGAGGACACTTGCCCCAACCTCCATTATCATGCCCTTACGTTAGAAAAGACAAAGAGCAAGGCTTTTTTATATATATAATATGCAAATGAGTCACGTAGAATGTATATGCCCAAACATTAAATGCCACACCACACATGAACCTCCCACCCCATCTGCAAACCCTGTCACAAATTCAGGATTTTTCACATGGACTCAATTGGTATGACAATTATTCGGGATACTACCGCTACCTTAAGTGCACCAGCCACTTAAGGTACTTTTGTGGCTATTTATACAAAATACTGTTCAGTAGCCATGACTTCAAGCAATAAAAGCCTTTTCAATTACCTTGGACTATCTATAAACAAAATTATACACCAAATGTGCCCTGAAAGGCACAAGCAATACTTACACAAAGACTTGCACGCTTATATACTTAAACCAAAAGATATCATACTTGATGTAGGTAATTTTAATGTGACTTATTCTGATGTAAGTAAATAAATTTAAAGCTAAGTCACACCAAATGTAGTTTAACCAAACCAATAGCGTCCATGTAGCCCTCTCAGCTGTACATATAAGCTGAATGGAAAAAAAAACAATGTGTGCAGTAAGATAAAGAACCGGAGCATGACAGATAACGGTACTAAGACAGATAGAGAAAGGTTCATGTCATCTTTCAGTAGGTTCCAAAGTATACCTGGTAAACAACCAAGAGACACATACACAAATACCATGGAAGCACCCAAAGTGCCAAAAACAGTGGTTGTGGGGAATTAACATAAGCAACAAAGACAAAAAGGTACTGGTAAGTAAAGTTTCCACACAAGCAAAAAGAAAAGCAGGCAGACATAGCTAAGATTATCCGACGACTGATAAAAAAAACACAACAAAGCATGGGAGGCATTTGCTGTACCCCTGTTTACAGACTAAAAGTCCCCGAGAGACTGGGGAGTTGTTGCTGCCCTCAAGTCAGCAAGCCGAGAACCAGGAAGGACAATTTTAACAGAGGGTAACTAGACAGGGGATAGCTAGATCCTTGGAGAGGACAAAGCGAATAAATTCTTTCTTCCAAATACAGAAACAACCTTGGAAGGTAGCTGCTAAGAAACCTCTGTGAAAACATTATTACTCATTGTACTTTTGCGTATCTTATTTTCCTTCTGTGTCTTTGCTTTTTTTAAAAGCTAACAAACCAACCCAGTATTAATTTACCTGGGTTCTATTGAAATCTTTGGTAGCTGCACAAACAGCACGCCTGTTTTCTTCTTCTTTTCGTTGTTGCTCCATAGTCTTTTGGTCAAGTTCAATCCTATTCTTGTCATGAAGATCATCTAAATTAGATTAAAATGAAATTTAGCCAGTATTCATGGACATGATGTGCCATATGAGTAAGCCACTGGAAGACATGCAGAGACAGACAGAGGAGCTACAGATACAGTAAGCTGAATTACATAACTATTTCCAAATCCTACCACCAAAGGTTTCCACCTTGGAATTCCAGGTGATTCATGAAATCAGTTTATTATGTAACCCATCTTGTCTTAACAGTTAGATGAAGTTAAAATTAAAAAGTATGTTAAGTACTGCAGAAAAAGTGTTTCATGACAAGCTAGAAAAGAAGAATCAGTATTATTTTGTTTGCTCTAAAACAGTAAAGATTGGACAATTTGGTCTGATGAAGTAACCATGCCATTTAGCATGCAAAACAGAGGTGGTTCTTCAGAATGCTCTGACAATTCATTTGAGGTGTAAAACAGAAATTAAACCTAGGTAATATTACAATCTTCACATGTTATTAAATATAGATTTCTTAAGTGAGATATTGAATACATTACAGCTTGTAAAGTAAAATCTGCTGCAGTGTTTCTAAAAGCTAAATATGAAATATACTAAAATACTGCTATGTCAAACTGACACAATAGGCTATACCATATTTTTTGTCAGACACATCGGAATTGCAGAAAAAGCAGGTTAAAACCTTATTATCTTCTTTTGCTACCTGCAAATTTTTGATCAGCTAATGCATTCTTCCAGTCTCTCTGTTGCTGAAGAGACCACTCTCTTAACTGCTCCTTTTGAAATTTCATCCTCTGGTCATAGTTTAAGTCTTCACCCATGAACTTCTGCAAGCCAGATACAGTACATCGAGGATCACTGTCTGAAAGTCGAGCAGGTCTATCCTTCTTTAGGGCTTGCGGATCAGAGAGGTCAAATTCACGTCTTGTTTCGGGCTTTTGAAAATTCTTCTGAAATTCACTGATAGCCTTATTTATGTTTCTAATATCATTTTTCTGTCGTTCTTCTAACATACACATGATCTTGTCATTTTGCTTCATTTCATTAGCTAGAGAAAAATAAACACAATGAAAATACAACTCTCAGAAGTGCATGTGTCATGGAAGTGCACATGCAAGATGGAAAATAAAATTTTGAAGAGGATTTAATAGAATGTAAGTCTTCAAACTTTTATACCTTAGGAAAGAGTATTTGATCTATGAGTACCAGCCCAGCAAACACTCTGATGTTAGTAATATTTACTTATAAAATACGTTCCGTTTTTTTAGGTATCAATTCTCCTATTAATGTTACAATGAAATATATACATGTGAAACAAAGACAATAAATACTTCTAGAACTATGAGGTTTCATTTTATTAAAACTTGCACTAACACATGAAATGTACCTTATACTAATTTTTCCCACTTACTCTTAGTTTACAGTTGCAACTGAAATACATTAAGTTGCTTATTAAGAGACAAACAAAAATCAAGCTCCCAATGAAAGGAATAGATAGTTTTTTCATAGTTCCAATGATTTTTCTAGCCATAGCATTAAAATAATTGGCTGGCATGAACAGTTTTTGAAGAGCTTAAAAGCCCTTGCCCATTTAATCAAAATGCTGTAACTGATTTAAAGAAAAACAAAAAAACCCCACCCAACACTAGCCATTTTAGCCATTTAAATATAATTCACAAGAAAAGATCATTTCTGTTGTTGCCAGACTACCCATTGCTTCTGGCAGTTTCCTAGGAGTCAAGAGTCTGACAGGTATTCAGCCAGGAAAATCACAAGCAGCTATAGAAGCATAGCATGGAAGTTGGCAGCTCCATTCCAGCTCTTCTTGAAACCCAGAGAACTCAGTCTGTGGGACCTTTTCACATGATACCGCAGGAAAGCATTCCAAACACAGAGGGCCACAAAGGGCTTTGAGGTCAGGGGCCACGGATGAAATATTTGTGTGGCTACGTGCTCTGACTCAGCAATGGTTCCTGCTTACAGGCCTGTTGCACATGATTCATGCTTCTAGCAATAATAATCTATTGACAATTCTATAGAATCTAGATATTCTATTAGAGAATGACCAGACAGAACATGGGCCTACTCTACAAGAAAGCAAACACACACATTTGCCACTACCATTCTGAAAAGAACACTATTAAGTAATAAAGTTTTTTTTAAAATGCTCCTATATCTTCAGGTCTCTAAACAATGCTATTTGTCAACATTTATTAAAAGAAAACATTGAAAATTCCAGCCCACTAGGAAATGTATACCAGTTTAATTATGTCAATATAAATCTTCAGATATTGAGGAAAACACATACTGTACCAATGCAAGTATATGAACAAAAATAGGACTAATCATTATAGTATTCACTTTTCAGATTCACGGAGATAGGCACCATTTGGAAATAAATATGGTTTGAAATACATGAAGGGAAAAAGAAACCAGGAAACAGATGATAAATTACATTTAACTTGTCACAGAAACATCATAGTATCTATAAATATACCAAGTTCTTCATTTCGTGCTTTTTCAGCTCCTTCTTGAATTTTCCGCTCCTTGACTTGGGTATCCAATGCATCCTTATCAACCTATTAAAATGAAAAAAACCAGCTCTTTAAGAGTTACTATGTTTGAACAATTAAAAACAGGTATTGTCAAGATACGTAGATTCACAGTCATACAGGATAGATCTAAACCCGCTACCAAAAGAGTATATAGACATCAGTATTTAATGTAGGTAACATAAAAAGAAAATTCAGAAACAGCAATATTCTTGTTTGTTTGCTTTGTTTTAATAATAATAGGTATAGTCTTGCACCAAATCAGAAAAAAAGACCACATTTACATGTTAGAGAGAGTTATAAACATTTTAAGCTGCATTACACAGACTATGTTCTACCCATTATAGCTGGCATTTTTACTTTTTTTTGTTCTGCTTTCATTTATAAAGAAGGTAAGTATTCTGCCAGTCAGGATGACAGGAAGTTGTAATAGTTCAGATTTTTAGAAAATATAGATGGTTCACTAAAAGTATATTGAAGAAATAACGGGGAATGGAAAGAAATTTTCCAGTCTTATCTGACAGAGAATGGGATTCATGTAGTTGCCAAAATGCAATATTGGGTGCCATTTGAGATACATGCAGACATCTACAATGAGCTGACAGAATATTCACATCCCTGGAGAGTGGTACCCGAGCAAAGCATAATATCCTAAGGCAGATCATCAGATAGTAGCAGCCACCTACATTTTAGGTAAAAGAATCAGGTCCTATATTTGTTGACAGAAGATAGCAAATTAATAGGTAGAAATCTGGATTTTTTTTTTTTTTTTTTTTAACTGGTCAAGTCACTTAATGTCCTTGAAAGATTTGTCAAAAAGCAATGACAATTCTTCAAGAATCTGGTAAACTATTTTTGATAGTCTTTGCTAGAAACTGTTTGGATCAAGACAGAAAGACTTAAACAGATCATGGCTGAAAATACACATTGTTAATGCTGTAAAGGACTACTGACTATACCAACCAGGCAAAGAGGTAAATCCGTAAGCAAGGGTGAAACCATAAAGAATTCTACAGGGTACCCTTGTCCAAAAACAATGATGTCATAGGCATTAAATATCAACTCATTTAGAGGTCTCATTTGGGAAATCAAGCTTTCAGTATAGCTATAGGAAACACTTGTTAAGAGAAATTCAATACGACTTCATTAGTAGCTTCTGGCAGTGATACAGGTTAAGTCAATGTATTGTCTTGTGCACGCAAATTCAGCTACGCTATCAGCTCACTCCCATTTGAACAGCTTTCACTTGAGAAGAACACATCCCTAAAACAACCATTGCTCGTCACATAAAGCTACAGGTTTAACTTTTAAGCATTACAATAACAAAACCCTTACTATGAACAGTTTGAAGCAGGTAATTTCTAATCTACTTGTATTTAAGTATAATAGTTCATATATAAATGGAAAGTAATTTTTCATTTGGACTACTCATCTGAACTCTTTTGGGAAATTACTGATTTACTCAGGATAAATTCTTAAATCTGTAAGTGAAGA